CTTGTCTTTGAACTAGGATGATGTCAGTGTGAATGTGCAGTCATATTCGTTGTGTTCCCACTAGTGCTGTCAGCGTTAATCTCGTTAAAATGACATTAATGCCATAACGCGGCAAATCTCCGTTAACGAGTTACCACGGATTGCCCCGTGCTTGGGGCTGGACAGCGTCAACACAAGCTAACTGCGCTAACGCACTAGTTCCCACAAATTGAGCATTGCGTTGCACATCCGACACACTGTTTTACTTTTGTCCATGATGGGCTTACCTTCAGGGTCATACTTCACATGAAAACCAAGATAGTTCCAAACGCCAGATCTGAATGAGGGTGGGGGAGGTTCAATTTTGGGTTGCGTTGAGGCATTTGCCATGTTGCAACGAGCTTAGCTTCTGTCTTGCTAGCTTGCGCTGCGCTCAGTGGATCTGCACTCCACAGTGCAGCCTAGGCGGAATAGTTGAACGCAGATCCACTGAGCGCTCAACACAGACAGCATCGTCAGAAGAAAAGTTGATAAAATAAATAAAAAATGTTGTATTGTTCGATACATATGCGTACCGAACCGAAACCACTGTATCGAACGGTTGCACCCTAGTAGTAATGCTACTTTGTCATGCAGGTACCCTTAGAAAAAAATGCTTTTAATACTGTTAGTTTAAATAACATATTAAAGTGGGCTTCTTATGCAGTGTAGCCTTTAATATCCATTCAAAATATGTATCTGTCTCAGATTCCTGACAGCTGTTGAATATCTGCAAGACTTTGGGAAAGCTTTATACCCAACAATGTTGGCTCAGGGAACATCTGTAGCCCAAAGGATTCAGTGAGTGGGAAATCCAGTTGTGGAACAGATGAGCATTCTGCTTGGAGAACATGAATGATGGAGAGGAGGTAACAATGATCCAACAGCTGGTAGCAGGTTAGGCCTGTCATCTTAAAAATCTAAAGTAGGTAATTGGCATGGGATTACATATAAATATCACCACCCGTTGGTATTATATTCAATGATGTAAAATGACTTGAAAAACAAACGACTTTTACTGAATATGCAGCAGAAGGTGCAAATTTATTACATATATACAAAATATTACAAAAAAACATCACATTTACACCAAATGAATACATGTTGTTTTGAATTATGTAAGAAAACAGAGCAAGGTTTAAGGATTTGGCAGTAATGTATACTACATGTTATTAAAAAACAGATAAAGCACAATTGCTCTGTGCATCATGTTGGGGGTTTTTTTTGTTGTCATGTTTAAGATGTTTCTGTTTTATCAAGTACATCCACTAACATTTAAATTAACACATTAGAAGTTTGACTTAACTAAATAATGACCAGCAGTTGGGAAAATGCAGTAACTTATTAGGATTTAATGTGAAAAAGAAGATGAGAACATGTACAATGTTGAAAGATTAAGGGTAAGCACTGGTGATGGTTCAGCAAAAGAACTTGTGACTTTCTGTGATGAGCAGGTTAAGTGGGGTGAAAATAATAGTTGGGTAATCAAACACAATTTACCACACTACATTTTCAGTTAGGGACAAAAGTTCAACCGATTGTATTTAAGGCAAATGGAAAAGTAAACCCTGAAAAGTGGTTCAAAGAGAAAGCAGAGAATATGAAATGAGTCTTTTCTTTTGCAAGGCACGTTTTGGGTAATTACTTAAAGAACTTTTCCCCCTGTAATGCTTTTTTCTAACAATTTGTTTTAAA